GAACCGCTTCTAGCAGGCTGGAGGGACAGGGGGAGGCTGGCATCAGTCTGATCGCTCCGGTTGCTGGTCTTGCTTTGCTATATTTGGGTTTTTTTTCCTTTTGCAGTTTTTTAGCCAGGGCTGCAGTGGGGAAGGAAGCAGCAGCTGGAGCAGTCGGAGGGTTACGGTGTGCAGGCTAACAAATGTGGATCATTAGCTGGAACAAGTTAATGGTCACTGAAGCACATGGGGTTTAGAGCTGGAACAAGTTAACAGCAACTCAGTCCGATGCATTAAGTGCTTATGCGTATTAAAGCTCAACTATGTTAACAGAAAACATGTGCCCTAGGAGGAGCGTTTGCCAGGGAGCACCAGAGGGTGTGGGTGTGTGTCTGTTCACCTCCCCGGGGGCCTCTCCGTGCAGGGGCCCTGCTCCCGTACCCACTGCTGTGCTCTGTCTGAGCAGCTCCCAGCTGGCCGGGCTGCAGCGGCGGGCTCGGGGGCACCTTCCTCCTCAGGTAAGGGTGCCTTGCCACCAGCTGGGCTCCTCACAGCAGGCGTCACCTGTCAAGGGTCGGCCCTTGGGCAGTGTCTCCAGTGCAAGGACAGCCCCGGCTGCTGTGCTGGGACATGTCAGTGGTGCTAACCAGATGGCCCAGCTTCTCCACTCCAAGGCCTGTGTGGTTCATCCGTGTGGGAAGCAGGGCAGTCCCTTCTGGGGGACCAGTGGGGAGGAGAAACTAAGCCATGGTGGACCCTTCTGAGAGTCTTCTCCAATTATGACATGGGAGACCTGCATCCATTCCTGGCCTTGCTGCAGGCTGCACGAGAGACCTGGGGCAGGTAATTTTCTTTGTCTGCAAAATGGGGGTTTTACAGCATTTGTTTCAGTGTTAAAGAGGGAGAAGGTATTTATGGTAGAGAGGCACCTGTGTGTGACACTGAGGACAACAGCCAGGCATGGCGAGAGGTGAAAAGCCACCAGGTTCCTACCTGTCCTCCTTGTGTCACAAGTGACCTGGGGAGCTGGCTGAGGACGCCATGGGCAAGTTACTCATCGGCGTGCCCTCAGGAGAGCCGGCTGCAGTGAGAGGGGCCAGGCTGTGCCGGTGGGGACATGCGATGAGGAGCACCAACAGCAGCATGGCCAACCACCCCGTTTTTGGTCTTACACAAAATCGACTATGGCGTGTCCTTGCTCTTCATGGTGCTGCGTCCTGCTGCTTCTCTGTGCTGTGGTGTCTTCTGCTCCAGGGCTGGCTCTGCCTCAGGGGCAACCAAGTCACCGACCTTGGAAAGAGTTTTGAGATTACAGTTGTCACAATTGTGAGACACGAAAACAAAAGTGAGATGTGAAAATAAATGAAACATGAGGAAGCCTTTGCTGCCTTCTGCAACTCCTTACTCAAGACAGCTGAGATGAAGCTAGTTAGAAAGAGCATGATTCCGTATGATCTAAAGTATTTTGGTAACTACGTGAAAATTGTAATCATGAGGGCGTAATAATTATCTGCACAGCCTACAGTTTGCTGCCAGCTCCTGCTGTTCTGTCATAAACAGGTCCTGCCTACGCAAGTGTGATAACCGAGTGCCTTGTCTGTTCCACGAGCGCTTGCAGAGCTCTCCCAAAACCTAAAGGGAGACGCTTGTGTCTTTATTTAAAAACCAACCAACCAAACAAACAAAACCAACACTCAAGTGCAAGTTGATACTGAGATGAATCAGTGAGTAGAGAGGTTGGGAGAGCATGGTCCTGCCCTTTACTTGTGCCACAGCCTCTTTGCAGGCAGGAGTGTAACCCAGGGCAGAAGAGGGAGGCAGCTGGAGGTGTCCACTGCCTTAAATTACCTCTGGCAGATCTTCTAGAGCTCACCTGTCAAAACCCTGAGTGATGGCTCCTGCTAAACCACCTGCCTATAAGTCTAAAGGTGTTGTGACTGATCATTGGGATTGTGGCTCAGGAGGTCTTACAGGCAATAACAGGGATGGCATCTTCACTTTCCCTCTTTTCTCGTAGGTACCCACCCAGCTCTTCACGCCTCTAGAAGCATGCTGTGCTTTGGCAGAGTTCTGAGAATTCCCTTAAGCGGGTGATGAGCTGATGGGTAACAGAGGTCACTTGCCTGATGTGTGTCTGGTGGATTTTCCAGCTGTGCCAGTGGATGTGTTATGTGCCGGTGGATGGTTATGAGCCAGAAGGGTCAAACTACAGCCCTCGAGAGGCTAAGGCAGTCTCAGCCGGCTGGGCTGAAAAAGCCCTTTCTTTGAGCAGTGTCTGTGGCGGGGTCATCAAAGAGAGAGCATGCCCAGCACTATGGGAGGGAGGCAGCGTGGCGCGCTGCGTTTGTTCCTGTTGATTACCCTGCTGGTCGACCTTCATTTATTTTAAAGAAACTTAACAGTATTACTTGCTGGCACCAGAAAAACTTCCCCTTGCTCTCACTCCCACTAGCAAAAACTGTCCTCAGCCTTTCTGCAAACTGCAGCCGCAGAGCTGCCCCCAGACAGGCTGGGCTTCCTTCTGCAGCAGCCAACTGCCATCCCTCTGCTTCCAAGGCTTTACAATAAAACCCTGCTCTGGAGTTGCTCCTGCCCGGTTTCAGTCCAATGACAAATTTTTTTGCAAAGCCTTCTCCAGATCTCTGCAGCTCAGAAAAGTTTTATGGTAAAAAAGAAAACAGAAAAAAAAAGAAAAAGAAAAAAATATGTTCTGATTCTATTTTGTACTTGGCTGATTCGTAAGTAGGCAAGTTTGCAAGAAACTGCAGGACAGATTTTAAAATAATGTTGGAGAGAGCTTGGGGAAAAGAGTAGGAAGACGTTTGTGTAGACTCAGCTCTATTAAGGAAGAGATCAATAGTTCTTCTAGTGGGTTCTTGTTCCAGTACAGCGTGGTAAAACTGTTCAAAGGAAACCTAACACAAGCAGCAATGATTAAGCAACAAGACCCCCATTCCTTATAATTATAGCCCAGTGCGATACTGACCTTTAGGAAATCCGTCATTTTCTTCAGTGCAGTGTTAACAAGCCCAAGGCACAGCCTGAACGTTGCCTCTGATCCGACTGCCATGTGCACAGGTTTCTTTGGTTCAAGCTGAAGGCGTTTATGCGCTCGCTCATTGGCGCAGGGTAGGTGTGGGTGGAAGCTGCATCTTCTGAGCTCGTCCTGTGCTGGGGACTCGCTTGCTCTGCGCCCTGGTGCACAAGCTCCAGCAGTGCTTTGCTCCCCGGGGAGTTCTCTCAAACGTGTTTGGCTTGGGTTTAACCCCGTGACGAAGAGCAGCTCTGCTCAGCAACGTACGTAGTTACGAAGAGTGCTGCCAGTGGGTTCACTGGCGACTTGCAGCGCCTACGGAGATGCTGAGGGACGCGCTGGAGGGACAAGTACCTGTGGTTGTGGTGGCAGCACCACAGTGTCCCTGGTTGCCAAAGGGCAGTACAGCACGGGGACTAGTCTGGTGATGTTTTCAGGCTTTAAACTGCTGATGTCGCATCTCTAGTCATTTTTATGTAAGAGCTGCAGCATGTGAACGTCAGTCATTTGCTGTCTTAACCCAGATGTAGTTCAGAGGCTTAGAGAAGTTTATAGCAAAATCACAGAAGAAATCATTAGATCCTTGAATTTCTTCCCTAGCACAGATGAGGTACGTATGTGTTGAGCCCGATGACTTGGGTTTGACTGTCTCCACAAGAGATATTGCCATTTTCCCTGTTAGCTTGTTCCTGTGGTTAATCACCTACGGCATTAAAAGCACAATCCTTTTTCCTCAGTTGAGTTTGTCTGGCTTTAACTTGTACGTGTTGGTTTCTATTAAGTGTTTCTGTTCTGGATTAGAGAGTCTCTGGTGCCTGATGGATTATTACCTTCAAGAACTGGGAAATCAAGTCACTGCTTTCTCTTTTTAGCATAACAAACAAATTGAATTGTACAAGTCTTTCACTGCAAAAGTCTTTCCCTCTCTTGAAATGGTTTTGTGGCTGCTCTCTTCACCATCTTCAGATTTACAAGCAATTTTAGTAGAGGTTTATGGGCTAGAAATGGGAAAATATAAGCCTTTAGTCTCTAGAGAAACGATGTGTGGCCTTTCCCCACACCTTTTCCATACACAGCGTTGCCCGTGTTACGTACAAGTAGGCACGGCACTAGGGTGAATTGCTGACGAGTTTCTTTCCCTTCCGAACATCTTTGCTGAGCTTGTGCCCCAAGGTGTTCAGGTGGTCAGCCCCACACGCGGGAGCGCCTGGACTGTGTGGGAAGGGCTCCTGGGCTGGTAGGGGGGCGAGGATGATCCTGCTTACAGCCTTCAGTCTAAACATGGTCTTCGCAAATGGGAAATGCATGCTCTTTCCCAAGTGCTGCCGCGTTTCTCTCGGGTTCCTGCCCTGGAAGCCCTTGTTCCCAGTCAGGCAGGATATCTCAGTGGCGTGCAAGAGGAGCTGTGGCAATTCCCCCTTTGGCTTTTTTCCTTTGCTTGGTGCTGGCTGGTCGCAGGAGAAGGCTGGAGCTTGGCTGCAAGGTATTGACGGCTTCCCGGCACTGCGCTCTCTGCGTCTGCGGTGTGGTGGCAAGTGTCCTTCCCTGGCAGCAGAGGAAGGGAGCTGCTGACAACCAGCTCTGTGGTGGTTTGCAGCCATTCTCCTGCGCTCCATGGAGAGCAGGGGAGTAGTTTTCACTAGCAGCCCTTCTCCTCCCTTAGCTGATGCACTGCAGTGGCTTAGCTCCAGGCTTGACAGCTTTACCCAGCTGCTCCCTAAGGCAGGGCAGAGGAGAGGGTGGGTGTCGTGCAGCAGGAGTGCGACCCTCGAGGGCAGCTGCCTGCGTGGCTGGCAGGAGCCCCTCAGTGACAGGGAGAAGACACATCTGCCCATCAGGAACATGGTGCCATGGATGCTCTGACCTCGAGGGAGTGCTGGGCCTCACAGGACCTCGCTAAAATCCGTGGCTTGATCGGCTGGGCCGAGGGACTGAGCAGGACCTTGCTCACGAGGAACATCTTCTGATGCAGGGACAAATTTTAACCCAGTGAAGCTGGAGCAATGCAGACGTTTAGCAGGAGGGAAGTGTTGGGTGGTACAGCGCGGTGACCGTCACTGAAGGACCCTGGGCCATCCAGGGCAGATTCCCCTTCTGTGCATCCAGAGGATCTGAGAGCCAAGGGAGCTCTGTTTGCCCAGTGACACTCTCGAAGCCCGTTCCCCTGGGGCAGTTTTACATTTTCCCTGTGGGAACAGTACTCTGAATTTCTTGAGCTTGTTTGGGTGTAAAATCTGCATTAGGCACCGAGTGTAAGTTTGGAGACTTGGAGTCTGTTCCTGGCTCACTTGCTCTGCTGTCCTTGAGTGAGCTGGGATCTTGTTGCTAGAGACCTCGCTTTCCACGTGCATTAAATTTGGGTTGTCTGTGGAATGAGCTTACCCAGCCCTGATAAGCTCATTGCAAATTAGGCAGGAGCACCAGCCTCACAGGGCTGTTGGCAGCCCCCTGTGCAGGGGTTGGAGTGGGCACGGGCAAGCTGGCAGCAAACCCAGCACTGGTGGGCAGCATGGTGCGGCCAGCACTGGGATGCGGCCAAGTTTGCATGCTTGGCCCCCCTTGCTGTTTCTCCTCCGGCTGGGCTCCTCCTTGCTCCTTGCCATGGAGTCTCTGGGTACAAGAGGAGACCTGGCAGAGCCGGCCATCCTTCCCAGGGGTCCTTCCCAGAACTGTTGTGGCTTTGGGTGTGGCAGAGGGAGCTGGGAGGAGACGGTACAGGCAGAGGGGTCTGTCTGTGCCCATGTTTGCTGCCAGCAGTGCCACAGGAGCCCTCCCGCCTGGGGAGAGGGGTGAGCCCCAAATTCTCTCGCCGGGCAGCACAGGCTCCCTCCTCCCCACAGCCCTCGCTCCTCCGGGCCCATCTGGTGGAGTCTGTCAGCCGCCCTTCCCCGCATCCAGCCTGCTCTGGGCAGCAGCCAAGGGCCCAGCAGCGTCCCCGCTGCTCTTTTCCCTCCCCCGGGGATGGGGGGGTCGCGGGCTTTGATGTGCGGGCACGGGGCTGGGGACAGTGTGTGCACTCATGAGAGCCTGGCCAGGCTCCAGCTGCCTTTGAAGTGCTCCAGTGATCAGGATGAAAGGGAGGGGAGTCCTTCCCCAAACCATCTGGCTCTAATTGCAGGTAGAAATGCCTCTCTGCGTCCCCCCGTGGGGAGGGGGCACGCCGCGCTCTTCGTTAATCCCGTGGCTCTCGGCCGGGCTGGCGCGAAGGGCGAGCGCTCGGGAACAAAAGGGGGTTTCAGCTGGGCAGCCAGAACCAGGCAGCCGCCGGCGGAGATGCTGGGGGGTCGGGCACCCCGCTCCCAGCCTCGGG